TAATTGATCCAAATTGCCTTAATTGCAAATGATAAAATGTGACTAGGTAATGTTGGATTTGAAAAAATTTCTTTAACAATCTTACAGAAATGTTTATTGCTCCCTTAATGAGACTTCCTGCATATGAAGCAAATATGACTCAGCTCTAATCTTTCAATGCCACAATCAGAAAAGTGGTATTTTACATCCGATGGATAACTAGTGCACTCCATGAGGAGCAAGACATCAACTTTTCATGGAAAATGCTACCATGTGACAAATACTCATTCCTCCTTTTGGTGGAGGCGGAGTACACACAAGTATATAATTTGTCTTGAAGTCTAACTTTGCCTCCTCTCCTATGGCCTCCAGAAAAATAGCTTACATTGTGATCAGCCAAGATGGTATTTGCACTGATAGACTATTCAACTTTACAGAACATTAACAAGTCCAATGCAACCCTGAACAAAGTGATCTTTAAAATGAACAGGGTCTCTACTCCAAATGTAGCAGTCCGTTTGGAATCTTCAAGAACCAATTTAAAGACAGTTTAAGAATGGCAAATCATTAGTTCAATGAAAAGAAGCTCTTTGATTGCTAACAGGAGTTCCTTGGTATTTGTGCTCTAGTCACCAGGAAATCTTTTGGCATTTGTTAGGCTGTTGCCCATCCTGATGGGAATGCAGGCTCTCTCTTGCTCCTTCATGACACCTGGGCCGTGCATGAAAACGAGCGAGGAGAAAAGGTCCTGCAGCACCAAATTTGTGAATATTTTACTTAATTAACAAGCACTAACAAATCACGTCAAGGATGCTAGACTGCATTAACTGGCAGAGATGCACAGATGTAAATTTAACTCCCTATTCTTGCTTCTCTCAGTAACTCCAATCAGCCAATAACAAGACAAAAGATCATCAAGATCCTTTATTTGAACACGTAAAAATGGAATAAAAACAAACAGAAGTTTTCCCGTTTCTCACTCTACTGTTCTGTGGTTTCCATGTAAATTCCCTTCAGTCTTATCTTCTGTCATATTATAACACCCTTTTATAATTTAATCACTCCAGT